AGTTGGGCTTTTTTATTGTGTTTTTGGTGGTGGTTTCACAGAATCACAGAATTGTAGGGGTTGGAAGGGACCTCCAGAGATCATTGAGTCCAACCCCCCTGCCAAAGCAGGTTCCCTACGGCAGGTCGCACAGGTTTGTGGAAGTGCATATTTGCAAACTGTCAGAATATTAAGATTTAGATGCACAATTTAGTAAGTTAAAATGTCATCAAATTTCATTTATTTCAGATGAAAAAAAAAAAAAGAATTAAGGAATGGTGAAGCAAAACTTCTAAGAAGTAGAGAAATAACAGCGTTATAACAACCATAAACTTCCTTTTGCTGGAAGGAATCGATTTGCAGATGTATTACCTTTGTGTGTATGTGTACATGGAGGTGATTAGAGATTGGTGACCACCTGACAAAAGCAGGAATGGATATTACTCCGAATTGTCTTTGTTCATAGAAATCCAGACTAGCATCACTGTACAAATGATTTTAGTTTTAAGGGTGAACAGGAAATAATCTTAGATGAAAGCTGTAGCAAGCATTTAGAGTCATGCAATTGAAAATACAGGCTACAAGGAGTGGAAAAAAAAAAAACCAAACCTTTCATATTCAAATGTAGTACAAATAGTAGTTTTAATATATTACTTATTAGTAGTTCTCTAGTTCTTATCAATGTGTGATGACTAGGGTTTGGTCTGCAGTTGGTTATTCAGGCAATTCAGTGATGCAAGTGCTAGTATTACTGAAAATTATAACTGAACTTTCCTATGAGGCCATTAAGGAATTATTTTAATTTCAGTTGATCAATGATATGCTCCTTACAAACATAAATGCCGCTTAAACCATTACTTCTTGTAGGAATGAGCTTTTTTCTAGTAGCCAGAGCTTGGAGTTCATGTGGAAACATGAAAGCATTCAAATATGTGAAAAAATTCTGAAAGAAGAGTGCACACACAGGGAGGCTAGATCAAACATGAGTAGCTTTAGAATTACTTAACAGCATTGTTATGCAACAGATGAAAGTAAAAAATTCCCCAGTGTTTAAAATGTGTAATTTTTTAATTTTTTTTTTTTTTTTCTGTATCTCCTCATGATGGCCTAAAGTTGCATCAGGGGAGGTTCAGTTTGGATATTTGGAAGTATTTCTTCTCAGAAAGAGCAGTGGATGCATTGGCACAGGCTGCCCAGGAGGTGGTTGAGTCACTGTTCCTAGAGGTGTTCCAGAACTGTGGAGATGTGGCACTGAGGGACATAGTCAGTGGGCATGATGGAATGGTTTGTGGTTGGACTTGAGGATCTTAGAGGTCTTCTCTAGCCTTATTGATTCTGTCATTCTATACTTCTTATGCTGATTTGTTCAATACCATACCATTATTGTTACAGAAACTCTTTTATTATAGAATCGTTATTGTTGGAAAAGACCACGAAGTCCAACAGCTCATTGTCCCCATGCCCACTAACCATGTTCCCAAGTGTTCCCAGGTGCCACAGTGATGCTATGGTTGTAGTCACAACTGTAGTCATGGCTATGATTGTAGTCATGGCTAAGAGTTCTGCAGAAAACCTTCATACTACTTCATTAGTGCAAAACAAATGCATTAACAGAGAAAGTCAGAGGTGATACATGGCTTCAGAGTTCATCAAAGTCAAAACTGGGGTAACAGTAGTGCACGTAGAAGCAGTTGCCTAAAATTGTTGGTGTTGTCATCTGGTGAATGTTAGCTGGCAAAGTACAGATAGGAGACAGTGAATTTGCATTTTAGTTTTGCAGTGGTATACATATGCAGTGGTGTTATATAGGGCACAAGTGCAGGAAATGTTGTGATGTGAGGAATTGCTTATGTGGTACAGAGGACATTTTTTTATAAGGCTGGACACAGCACTTCTTGACTACTCGAGAAACCTTTGCTCCTGTCACTAGAAGGATGATTGGTGACTAATTCTCCCATGTGCTTGGGGAATTATTGGAACAGTGTGCTTCTAAGCAGTTGTATTTGGTCCCATACCACCTAACACAAAACCCTTGCTAAAAACTCAGACTATTTTCATAGGTTGCTTTTCACATCCTTGAGTTAAGCAGAAATTCTAGAGGAAGAAAGTAAATGTAGAACTGTGGTGTATAAGGTCATATCTGAATATTTTCAGACAGTAGAGTGCGGGAAACTCAATTTATCTGTCTTAGAAAGATGAAGAGCTGAGTCAATCCTGCTGGGATTAAAGCTCTCACATTGCTTCATGCTGTATAAAACATTTTTTCATCATCTTGAAATATAAAGCTAATATCCGAACCAAAAATGGGTATCAGTACATTGTGATATCAGTTAAATCGAGGTATTTGATTTTAGTTGGTCACTGCCTTCTGATTTTCCCTCTAAAGGGCTCAGTGAACAGCTTTTGCTTATCAGGAAATGGAAAGCAGTTTTCGTCTTGGCAATTGGCCCTGGCACTCTTGCAGAATACAGTCCAGGGTTTTTCTGCTGGAGTGGTTTTCCTGTTGTTGCTTTTGTAAATGGTTTTTATAGGATGTCCATAATAGAAAAATGTCACAAGGATGAGCAGGAGCTTGGCATGGTTTGATTGGTGCTACTGTCACAGAGTTACCTCTACATCTATCTGTGTCCATGACAGGGGAGGCAGCAGGCCTGCTGGCCTGAGAAGGGGAGGGAGTGTCAACTGGTTTATGGGCTGGTTCGGCCCAGTTTTATGACTAATAGGGCAGGGGACCCACAGACCCACACCTGGGAAAAAGGGAAGGGTAGGAATATGAGAGATGGGCCTAAGAACAGTGGCAATGATCTGAGGAGGAAAGTTAATTTACCGAAAATGATATTGGAATGCAGGATAACACAATGTAATACAATGTATAGTTGGAACTGAGGCTAATAAATAAAATGAGAGAGTATCCAAAACTGAAGGCCTTAGTCTGAATTGAAAGCCAAATGGCTGGGGAACACACCCACACAATGCCAGGCAGGGAGAAACAGAGAGAGTCCTGTGGCTTGCAAGTTTTATCTTTCCCTCTGTACACAGTCTTTTGGGGTATATGTAGTTCTCTTCTCTTCTGAGAACCAAGTACCCAGAAATTTGTCAGTCCATGGAACTGAAGTATTAACTCTTTAATTCCTCGTGCTTTACATGATGTTATGATGTGGAATACCGATAACAAAAATCATAAGACCATAGCATTCATGTTATCAATGGAAGACAGAGCCAAATATATACATCCAACTATTGCTGTCAGACCTCAGATGAAATGTTTGAAGTGAAATTGATAATTTTCTGAAGGTGCTTTTCTGTGCTTCAGCTTGTTCTGTCCCCACACTTTCAAAGATCATCAGTCACAGTAAACTGTCTTAAATTGATGATGTCTCTACTGTATACTTTGTTTATCCATGCTAGAGATCCTGACACTTTTTTTAAGAGGTAATACAGGTGTTATAGATTACAAAAGATCAGTATCAGAAGATTAAACCACTCCTCTGTGTGGCTAGAGGCCAAGATAAGTTGTCTTTCAAGAAAAGACATCTGAAAATTTGTGTACTTTTCATAGGTGTTATAAGTTTATCCTTCTGTAGATCAACTACAGCTTATACCAGATCATAGTTGAACATGTACAGATTTCATATGATGATAAATCCCTTTAAAATAGATGCAGGTATAATTTGTTAGGTATAATGATGTCTATAAATGGCAGTGATTGCATCATGAGGTGCTTATTATTTATTTTGAATAAGGAGAATATATATTAAAAAACACAATATGAAGCTGTATGATGACTTTAAAAATATGAGTTGGCAGCAAAGGAAGGAATGAGTACTGCAACTGCAGAAGTGTTTCTATTGAATGCTTAGTTTGTGCTTTGATTTTTAAGTCTTTTAACAGGAAGATGGAAATTAGTTACCAAAAAAACCTCATCGCACTTTTCAGCCATTATGCATTGATATTGTAGCGGGAAGCTGATGAAGACAGGTAAAGAGACCTGAATATTACTGAGGTGCAAGGTAGTAATATCATAAGACATGAAAATTAAGGACTGTTGGCATCATGCTTTAAGTAATTTCCTAGGGAGCATGTGTACGTCCAACTGTATGGGGAAAAAAGAACAGGCAGCAGGTTTCTGCACCTGGATTTAGAAATCCGCTGAAACTGCTGGTGCAAATTTAGTAAAGAATTAAATACCATCATAACTTGGCTTAATGATATGATTAAATGCAAACACTGCAGTGAACAGTTTGGGCTGTAAGCTTTTCAAGTTTTTAAAATACATTAAGCTACCAGTACTGAAATGTCTTCCTGCCAAATATTTAATTTCTGAACAGTGAAGATGGTTACACCCCAGGGAAATCGTACTCTTGTCTGTTAATTTTGGGATGAGTATAGATAGCAGAAATAACAACTGGACTATAAAAAAATTATGCTATCAAGGATTATGTATTTTTTTCTCCTGAAAATGGGAAGAAACATATTGGAAACTTTTACATGAACAAGAACACCAAGAGGTCAAAATACAGCTTGCTGGCCTTTATAAAAAAAATTTTTATGACATGCAGTACATTAAGTTGTGGATTTTAATGGCCAATTTCCATGCGTTTCTTCGCCTTGGCTAAGTGTTGACATCCTTCACCTTCATACTCAATTGTTACAATGATTTACTGAAAAATGATATTGAGCTATGCTCTTGACAACAGGTGAGGATTAGGGTGTTTTTTCTTACCTTTTTTGCTTAGTACATTCAGTCTAAATTGTTGTGATTGCTGGTGTGGTTTAGAGGTTTTCTCTGTGCTTTCCACTTCCTGCAAAAGCATGTTTTCATGCAAAGTTGTAGGCATTCAGAATTTTGTAAGAGAGGATAGTTGCACCATGATGTAACTACCATAATATTTTATTATGTCTTTTCCAGTGACTTGCAGGTGTTATCTATGTGTGATATAAAACTTGGTGATAACATAGGTAAAGTATTTAAATGATCCTTTAAAGTGTCACTAAGTCTCTAATAAAACTTCTTTCCTCAGAACAAAAGCCTCAAAAACAAGCTGCTGTCAGGAAACAAGCTTTGTGGTATTCGTGCAGAAGAGGTAAGGAAGGTTTCTCTCTATTTCAAAGTTAACATACCCAGAAGAATGTCATGTCAGTCTTTTGCACTGAGATTCTGCACAGATTGTATATTATGCATGCATGATCATTGCATCATAAACGTTTGAAAAGACCTCTACAATCATCAAGTTCAACCATCAAGCCATCACCACTATGATGTTTATAAACAATTCAAACTCATTTCCATGACTACACTATGGGCAACTCAAATATGTTAGCAAGCTGCAATCTCAAGTTTTAGACTAATAAAGTTTGGGAATGGTTATTTCACATATATAAAGCTCTTTAAGTATACATTTTGCTCTATAATGTATGTTAAACTGATTTTATTTCCCTATTCTTCATGCCTAGAATAAGACAGGAGTCATTAAATGACTTTCTGAAATACCTCGTAGAAACACAAAAGATTTATTGTTATTGATCCTTATAACATTTCATTATTTCAAGGGAAGTATCATATTAGAAAATATCTCCTCTACAGAAACACTAGCAAAAATAGCCAATGATATAAAAAAAAAAAAAACACCCTGTTTTCCCTAAGCGCCCTAGTAACTGTATTCACAGGAGCAGTCCTTTTAGCTATTTACCTTTTTGTGAGAGTGGTTATTTCTACATATGAATCTTAACTTTTTTACATGACTTAGTCATGGATTTCATCTGCAGAAATAACTTCTGTGAAGTCCATTTCATGTTGCCAGAATTGAACAGAAGCATAAAACTTCTTTGCTAAAATTATCACAGTTAAGGTGGGCCGTGTTTTCTTCAAAGACTCCACTTTTGTACCTAGACAGCCAAATTTATGAGGTCCAAGCAGTGATTTCCAGTTGTACTGGCTAATTAGCCTAGATGAAGTTCTGCAACTACTGCTTCAGATATATCCTCAGCAGTTGGTAACAGTGGGTATTTTTTTTGCTAGCTTTTCAGAATCTCTTACCTTCCTCTGTCATCACTGTTGCTTTCAAACATGCCAGAGTATTTGAGTACAAGTATAAATTCTCCCCTTGTTTACTGCTAAAAGAATTGGCAATGTTCAACACAGCTTGCTGTTTACCCTTCCTATTCGAGTTTGTTTTTCCTATTTGCATTAACTTTTAGAATATTAGGTAATTAACTTTTAGATATTTTCACAGATGATTTACTATTTACAACATGTCTTTTAGTCTAAAGGTGAGGTCTGAAATTAAACGAAATTTATTGTTGCATGAGAACCATTGCTGTCTGAGGATTTTAGGAGACCAAACCCTCAGCTCACCAGTATTCAAGGCAGCAGATAGCGAGTGTACTTTAAAACTTAAAAAAATTTTAGACTTGATGAGTCATCCTGACAAATTTATGGATTTAAAGTGGCTTAGTGCCACTAGAATAAGCAAAAATGCTACTACAGGACTTTTTTTCTTTTTTTTTTTTTCTTTTTTTTGGTCATTTTGCCAGATTTAGGTTATATAGGTCAGAGAAATGCAGTTCTTTTTTGCTCTTTACTTCCAGCATAATAACTTGTGAAATCAATACTCTTTTAATAACGAGATCAAACATCTTTCATGGATAGAATTGCCTACCAGGAAGCTCATGCTTCGTTCCTCTCTCCCATAGTGTGTGCAGACAATTTCATTCTGCTCTGAAGATTGTTTTGAAGGTGATGCCTCCAGTTGTGTTTTCATGTTCTCAGAACTTGCTGTTTTAAAAATAAATATTTGAAAAGAATCCAAAATCCACTGATTGCATTATCCTCACTTTCAGTCAAAAAAGATCCAAGCCCAGCTGAAAGAACTTCGTTACGGCAAAAAAGATTTCATTTTCAAGGTGAGTCTTCTTTCAACATAGTTTTGCTAAGTTATTAGAGTTGCTGTAATGTTGAAGTCATCTGTGAGTATGATAACTGCATTTGTTGCTATATTTTTAAAGAATCATTTACTTCTGTTGATACCGAGAAGAGCTGACACCACAATAGATGAGAATAGTATCATAATGCTAATTCAGACATGCTATTTTCTGTTGGGTTTTCTTTTTCATTTGCAAACCACTCTAATAGGAAAAGTGTTTCTTATTAAATTGCTTTCTGGGTCAAAGAAGAGAAGCTTCAAAGCCTAAATTTGTATGCAGTATATTTCAAAATATATATAGTGTAAAATAGTTTATGAATATCTGTTTGCATGCTGAGATAAAGCAACATTCCAGTTCCTCACTGGAAACCAAAATATATTACCCTATTCCATAGATTCTGTGATGTATTTGATACTTTACAGGTGGATCTTGGCTGCTAATTGAGTAGTGCTTTCATTTCCTACATAAATGGTGGGATAAATAGTCATCCCACAAGTGCATAGAGCTAGACTTATTTAAAAGGTAACTGAACTCAGTGTGAGGTCCATATTTCTTCTGAAAGGCACAGGATAGAATATTAGAACCACCAGCTACAAAATGCTCCCCAGGTTAGTCAGGGTGAATTCTGCTCTGAATGCTCTTACTTGAAAAACAGTAAAAATGTTTACATTACCTTTTGGGGAGACAATGAGCTAATTGAGTTAAAAACTCTTCAAGAAGTTTAGATAAATATAGTAAACTGGGAATAGGATTCAGAAGTTCCATCTCCTTAGAAGTTCATATGCAAATATCTAAAATATCTCTTCACTCTTCAGTTTTGTTCTGTGATAGATTTCTGATTTGCTCATTTGTTATATTTTCTACATGTAGTCAGAAATACGTTTGTTAGACTTCTTCCTGACTAAAGGAAATTTAATTTACGCGGGGGGGGGGGGGGGGGGGG